GCTGGAGCTCCTGGCCTTGCCCAGCCTGGGCTTTGTGCCCCGCGGAGCATCCCGGGGCTTGCTGGGCCTGCTCCGTCCCTCTCTGCCCGCGGCGTGCGGGGCTTGTGGCAGAGCCTTCCTGCCCCGAGCTTGGGCTCTGCTGGGTGTGTTCGCTTCCTGCGCCCAGATAACGCCAGAGTGTGCAGCTGTGTGCGGGAGATAATTTGGATACACCTCGGTGATGTGTGGGAGGAGGTCTTGGTTGTCTTGTGTATAAGGAGGGGGGACGGTGTGTTTTCTTACACTGCTGAAAGGCTCGTTTGTTTTAAAGGAGGGAGAAGTGTTTTGGAAGCAGGACCTGCGTGGGGGAAGGCAGCAGTGCCATGCTGGAGGCCCCCGGGAGGGCTGTGCACAGAGCAGAGCACGATGCCCTTCCTGCATGGCTTCCGCAGAATCATCTTTGAGTACCAACCCATGGTGGATGAGCTCCTGGGGCTGATGGTGATACCGGACACAGAAAGGCAGAGCACCCTGGAGAGGTAACCAGAGGGGGCTGAACACCCCTGAGGTGTTTTGGGGGGCAGAGCTGGAGCTCAGAGCTGTGGCTGAGGTCAGACAGCACTGGCTGGGGACAATCCTCATGTCTGGGGAGCAGCTCATGCCACAGACTCTCCTTTTTGCTGCTGTTCTTTGGGAAGATGGGAGTGGAGCAGAGCAAACACAGGGACAATGTGTGCTCCCTAGGAACAGCCTTTTCTGCCTGACCCCTGGCAATGAAGCCTAAACTGGGTTTCAGCTGCGACCCTGAAGCTGTTGTGTAGCCTCACAGCCAGGAGACTAGAGACCCAGTGGGTGCAGGACCAGAAGGGAGACCAGGGATTTTTCTTTTTCCCTGGTGCAACATTGACCTGTGCACACCTGAGCTATGTGCTGTTCAGCTGAGTAACTGGTGGGTTTTTCTTTGTCTCAAGCCCTGCCTGTCTGGGCAGTGACAGGGGCCAACTTTCAGCTGTGAGACAAGTCCTGGAGAGAGAGACCCATTCCCCGTTTTATCAGGAAGGTGTGAGCTATGCCCTGCTGAAGGTCACTGAGCTGGGGCTTGTCCCTGCTGCAGAAATCCTTCTGGAATTTGGTGCTGACCTCAGCTTTGAAGGTGAGGCTGGTGGGACAGGGCTGGGCCTGGCTGGGAGGAACCAGTGCATGAGAAGCTACTCTGGGAGGTGGAGATAGCTGGGGCAGAAAGAGGAGGTGCTGCCAGCTCAGTCCCCTGCTGCTTGCTGGAATAGTGTGGGTGTGTTTTGTGGAGACCCAGCCCCAAGGATGGCCAAGGATTTGGGGGTCAGCTTGCAGCTTTGGGGGCTTTTGGCAGGATGGAGCCATTGAAAGAGCAGAACGTGGGGTGTCTGTGACAGCTTTATTTTCACAGACATCTCTGTGTTCTCAGGGCCCTCCTCAGCTGCTCCTTTCACTTTTGGCAGGTGCTGGGGCCATTTTGGGGAAGCCCTTAGTTCTCTCTGATTGTGTTTTTGTCCTCAGATCCAGTCACCTACTACACCCCACTGCACATCGCAGTGCTCCGCAACCAGCCGGACATGGTGGAGCTCCTGGTGCACCACGGGGCCGATATCAACCGGAGAGACCGGGTAAGGGATTTGCTGCCTGGGCACAGCCAAGCTGAGAAACTGAGCCCTCCTGGGCCTCAGTTACAAGGGCTGGTGTGTGGGGACAGCCCTCCCTGCTCCCCATCTCCTGAACCTTGCTGCATGCTCCTTGGCAATCTCCTGTGCCCATTGTCTGTAGTGCTCTAACGCTGTGGCTTTACTAGTGGCAGGACTATTGGCTTGGTCCTCTCTGAGGGGCAAACCTGCCTCTGCCTTGGACAATGTGTGGGAGGAGGCTGGAGGAGACAGACCTCTGTCTACGGGTACACTGGGAAAGGTTCACTTTGTTTTTTGGGGATGGGTTCAAATGTGCTCTTACTTTGGCCATGACAGAGCCGTGGCAGTGCCTCTCCAGAGGCACTCAAGAGTCTTTAATACTTACTAATGTTCTTTAACTCTTGGTGCAGATCCATGAGAGCAGTCCCCTGGATCTGGCCAGCGAGGAGCCCGAGCGGTTGCCGTGCCTCCAGCGGCTGCTGCAGCTGGGGGCTGATGTCAATGCAGCTGACAAAAATGGTATGTGTGCCCCATCTGGGTCCCCCATCCCAAGTTCTCCCAGCTGTCAGCCCTCATGGGTGGGCTGGAGCAGGGTATGGGGTCTGGGTTCTTCTGTTTTGCTGCTGCATGTGCTCCCTGGTTAGAGGGGTTTGGAAGTTGGAGCAGGCTGCAGAACCTCCATGTGCTTGGTGTTTTCTCCTCGTGTGCTGGCCGTGTCAGGTGCAGAAAGGGGATGAAACTAGCTCATGGGAGAGGGGATGGGGCTGTGCCCCCATAGCACTGGGGTGCCCATGTGTTCTAAAACTCACTCTACTATAGGACATGTGCCCTCTGAGGCCACATCAGCCCTGCACGTGTGGCCTGTGACCCTGTCCCCACGGCTGTGCACCACCACAGGGACAGTGGGAGCTGCCAGAAGGAGAAGGGTTGTCACTCCCTGTGTTTGGCTGGCTGGTGGGTGGGGTGGATTGTTCTCCTTCCTGCTGTTTGGGGTGTCACCTGTTGTGATCTGACTGACCAATTGCTCCATTGCAGGTAAGACAGCATTGCTGCATGCCCTCGCCAGCAGCGATGGTGTCCAGATCCACAACGCTGAGAGCATCCGTCTCCTGCTGGAGGGAGGTGAGGGCAACCTTCTCCCCTTTCTGTGCTGGCTGAGTCCTTTATGTTCCCACTGGAGCAATAGTAAAGGCCAGTGGTGCCAGAGCTGGCCTGGCCTGGCAGTCTGCACTGCCAGTTACATTCTCTGTGCCTTCCTGCAGGTGCAGACGTCAGGGCAACCACCAAGGATGGTGACACTGTCTTCACCTACATCATCTTCCTGCTGGAAGCGATGGTGTGCAGCAACACTGAGGAGGCACAGATGATCAACCGCTTCTGCTTTCGTGTCACACAGCTGCTGCTGGCCCATGGTGCCAACCCCAGTGAGTGCCCAGCCCCTGAGTCCCTCACCCACCTCTGCTTCAAAAGCTTCCAGTGCCACTTCCCACTGCTGCGGTTCTTGCTGGAGTCAGGTGCTGCCTACAACTGCTCCCTCCATGGCCCCTCGTGCTGGTCAGGCTTCCACATCGTCTTTGAGTGCCTCTGCTCGCACCTCAGTGTCTCTGAAGATGACAGCTTCTCCACAGACCTCATCCAGAAGGGCCAGACTCTGCTGGAGCTCATGATGGCCAGTTCACAAGCTGTCCAGCTGCCCAGCAATTTTGAGGTCAACACCAGCAGCTGTAGGTACCACGGGGAGAAGGTCAGGACTCTCTTCTGCTCACTGAAGCAGCTGGAGCGCTCACCACAGGCACTGAAACACCTCTGCAGGGTGTTTATCCGGCAGCACCTTAAACCATGGCCAGTAGATGTCAAAATCAAGGCTCTACCTCTCCCAGACAGGCTGAAGTGGTACCTCCTCATCGACCACACTGCTGCCGGGCACGAGGACCTCTGAGCCTGACAGTGCCTCTCCATCTCCTCTGTCCACGGTCTTGGTGTGCCTACAGCCACCACATCTCTGCTCTGGGACAGTTTTCTCTGCAGCAAGAGGTGTCCATGTGCCCATGGCTCGGCCAGTGCTGGTCAGAGTCCCTCTGTGGCATTCTGGGGGGTGGTTTATTGAGCACATCATGTGTGTCTGTGAAGGCCTCGTTGCTCTGGGGCATGTCATGGGGAGGTAGCAGAGATTTGTGGTTCCTGGGGGAGAAGGTGCCCCTGGGCATGAGGGAGCTGGATACTGGGGCAGAGGGCTGGTTTGGGAGGAGGTTAAACAAAGGCCTGGCAGCAGGACTAGTGCCTTAGGGGACTGGTGGAGCCATGAGATGTCTTGAGGTGCTGGGAGAAAGGTGTTCCCTGTGCTAGGAGAGCCCTGGCAGCAGTGTCCTGGTTTCCTGCCTCTGATCCTGGTGGTGGGAGTGGGTGTGGTGGAGGCAGGTCCAGCACAAACCTGTGGGTGTAGATGCCTTCCTCACCCAACATGGGCTCCTGAAACCAGGGATGGGAGTGAGGGGAAGCAGGGCTGGCAGTAGGGACTAGCTGCTCCACACCCTCTGTTTCTGTACCCCATCCTGGCACAGAGGACCATCCACCAAGGACATCTCAGAGGTGCTGGGCTCCAAACCAAACAGACAAATGGATGTGTTTTGGCTTTGTGGTGTGTTCCCTGTGCAAGAACAAGGAAGAGGCAGGTAACTGCTAAGCACCTGGTGCCTCCCTCCCCATTGCTTGGCTCTTTTCCCTTGCTGACTGCTCCCTGGATTTTGTTCTCCAGTGCCTCCTTCCCAAGAACAAGAAACTGTAGCAGGACTTGGGGGTTTTCTTTCCAACCTGCTACTGGAAAGCCTGTGTCTCAGCCTTGCCACAGCTGCCTGACTCCCTCCCCCTTCTAAGCAGCTGCTTCCTCACAATGTGCCAAAAACTGACCATAGAGCTGAGCCCCACACATTTTTGTTGCTTTGTTTTTCTTGGGGGATAGATGCAGAAGAGGATGAAGAAGAGTTAAAAACTTACTAGAAACAGTTCATGTCAGGTGGATCTGGGATTCACTGAAGTTTGGCTGCAGAAGGGTTGTCTTCTCTACTGCCTTCCTGGCAACACCTGAGTTTTCCACCCTATGGAACTGGAGCTGTGTGTCCTGAGGAACTGGTGTTTAAAAACAACCCAGTAATGTGATCGAATTATGCCCTGGTGTCTGGAATGGGAACTGAGCAATTAAACGAGGCCTTTCATAATGGTGGCAAGGGCTTGTTTCTTCTGCAGGAGAGGTGGGGTGAAGGAGAAGGCTTGAGGGGATGGCTGGAGGGATGGGCTGCAGCTGGGGTCTGTGTGTGGGCTCACCCTCTGGCATGCTGCTGTGCCAGTGTTGGCCACATTGGGCTGGGCTTGGTTGGCACAAACCAGTAGCCAAGCTTGGGTAAAGGAAGGGAATATGGTCAAGGTGGTGATGTGAGTGTTCAAAGCCAGGTGAAGGTGTGGGGTGTTGGGGGAGCAGCTGCAGTGTTGGAGCTGGAGGTGCCTGGCAGTGCTGGGAGCCTGTGGAAATGGGCTGCTCAGAGCACACCAGTGCTACCAGGGTTGTCTGGGATAGCCCTTTCCTGGAGGAGGATGTGGGGGACCCAGGATTACCTCCATCTCCATTTTTGCTGCACGGCTGGAAGCCCTGCTGATGGGTTTAAAGGTGAGGCCCTCTCAAACCCCTACAACCTGGTGCTGCCTCCCCAACCACTGCAGGGATACTGCAGTGATTCCTCCCCCAGCTTGTTGCTGTGAGCAGCAGGAAGGGGTCAAACACCAAGCAAGGGATGGAGCCCAGACTGTCCCAAAGGTGCTCCAAGCTCCTGTTCACTAGCAGGAGCCCCATGCACTGCAGTCAGCAACCTGCTGGTGCCCACAGGATGCCTCTTGCAGGAGGGACCCTCTTGCTCCTGTCCAAAGCCCCTGAGGGTGTCATCAAGCCAACATGCATCCGACAAAGCCCATGTGCAGAAGTGCAACAGCAGGAAAATGTATTTGGCAAACACTTCTTTTCACAAACAGCAGCAACTTGGAAGACAAAGTCCCGTCCTTGTCACCAGCCCCAGAGAGAGGGAGTCACGACACCCTCGCCGCCGTCCTGCAGTGAAGGCACCATCCTCACCCCTCCCGGCCCTGGCAGGAACCACTGTGCTGGCCCTGGAGAGACCTTCCCCCACTGCCCTCATCTCATGGCGAAGGTGTAGACGTGGTAGATCTCGTCAGGGAAGTTCTCCTGACGCTCCTCAGCCAGGAGGTGCAGCCCAGCTCGGCAGATGATCTTACGGACCACATCCAGGTCCCGGCAGACGCTGCTGTCCACATCGTCCATGATCACTCCCTCCTGAGCCATGTTGTCCTTGATGACCACGATGCCGTTGGGCCGCAGGCCGGCACGGCACCGCTTCAGGAAGTCGGAGAGGTGATTGTCGGTGAGATGTCCTGGAGGGGCAGAGCAGGGGTTAGAAGGCACAGGGAGACTGGGGGGAGGAGACTGGGAGGCTGCACTTGAGATCCCTCCTGATCCAAGTAGCTAAATTTGCAGGGGAAAGCTTTTGCTTGGGGGTGTCCAACTTGTGTCCCACTATCCAACCCATGCCTCTGCTTTGGCCTCTGAGGGCTTGGGGGAGAAGACCCTTGGCAGGGAAAGTACAGTGCCCTCAGTGCCCCTTCATGGAGAAGGGATGGGGGCAGCTCCCCAACCCATGCCCTCACCCATGGTGATGCTCATCCTTCATGCAGATATCAAGCTGCTCTCCCTAGTGCATGGGACACCTGCCTCTCAGGGAAAGCTGGACAGAGAAAAGACCCCACAAGCGAAGTGACCCTCACCGATGACCCACTGGATCCAGATGACATCGTAGGAGTTTGGCTCGGGGCTGAAGTCCTGGAGGCCGCAGCAGAAGTAGTTGCGCACACGCCTGCCCTCCTCACCCAGGTAGCTCTTGGCCTTGGTGAGGAAATCCTCTGTCACGTCCACCATGTCCACTGTCTTGAAGAGGGGCAGCAGCAGCCGCTTGGTGATCCGTCCAATTCCTGCCCCACAGTCCAGAGCACGGGTTGTCCCTGTGCGGTTGGGGCCATCCTGGAACGACAACCGTGAGGGGCTGAATCCCACAGCGAGGTGGAGAAATGGGGCAAGCACATGGGATGGGACTGGGGTATGGGGAACCACTGCAGGGCAAAGCTCTCCCAGAATGGGATCCTATGGAACAACTCAGAGGGAAGAGCCCAACTCCATGCTCGATGATCTTTGAGGTCTCTTCCAACCTGGCTGACTATGATTCTATGCTGGGAGAAGGGTGGGGCTTTGGGAGTATGCCAGACCATGCCACCTACCCGCAGAAACCTCTGCAGGAACTTCCTGGAGCTGTTGATGTCGATGCTGGAGATGTGGCCGTAGCCCCCCAGCATGCCGTCCACCGTGGCGGGCACATCCTTCCAGTACTTCTCCGCCTTGGAGTAAAACTCAAACTCGTTCTCCACCACCTCACTTGTCATGCTGGCCGAGGGCACGTGCCCACCTGGGACTCGCTGCTCCTCTGACACGGAAGAAACCCCCATGGAGAGGGAGGTATCAGCTCTCTGAGTACCCCACGCTCTGTTTATCACCCCTTCCCCCTCCCCAGGGCCGTTTTGAACTCTAAAAACCTTCAGCTGAGAGCAAGAAGGAAGAAAGATCTAAATCCTGGGCTTGGATGCCTCAGCCAGGAGAGGCATCCCAGAGCCTTGCTCAGCAATACACCCAATTATATGATTATTTTTTAAGGCTGACCCACCCTTCTCTGAGTACCCCACGCTCTGTTTATCACCCCTTCCCCCTCCCCAGGGCCGTTTTGAACTCTAAAAACCTTCAGCTGAGAGCAAGAAGGAAGAAAGATCTAAATCCTGGGCTTGGATGCCTCAGCCAGGAGAGGCATCCCAGAGCCTTGCTCAGCAATACACCCAATTATATGATTATTTTTTAAGGCTGACCCACCCTCCTATTCTATTCTGCCTCTTCTTTCCCTCTCTTAACGTTTTATATATTACATCGTTTTATAGATTACATGTTTATCTGTGGTGACAACGCCATCAGTCACCTCCAATTACACCCAGAGTTGCTAAAAGTTATCCTAAGCACCTACCTGAGGATTGTAAATCTCAGCCGTGACCGTAAGTTAGATATTTGCAATATAATAAAGTCAAGGTATAATCAGCAATACAAGCTATAAATCCCCCCCAGGCATCTCATAATTCAAACCACTGTGGATTTGATTAACTGCACCAGGGATTAGAAACTAGGTTTAAGGTGGCCAAAGGGTAAATTCAAGGACTTCAAACACCTTTATAAATAAAGAAATACATAGTGTTCGTGGCTTGAATTTGCTGGCAAATATCCCATTAGGCACAAAGCCTTTTCTATGGCAGCTCAGGTAGGTTTGGTGGCCTCCAACGGCCTGGGGGTGGAGAAAGGGGATGCCACACCTCACCTTACAGGTCACCAGTGGAAATCCAGTTTGGCTCGGTGGTGCCAGGAGCCAGGCTGTGCTGTGATCTAGGAGCAGAAAACATGGGATTTAATCCCAAATCACCCCTATAATCCCACAAGGATGGGGCAAGGCTGACTGCAGCCCCAGGGAACAGCAGGTAAGAGCCACCCTGACCCCCCAGACACCCTCCGGGGGAGGCTGAGGGGGAGGAGCTGCCCCTGCCCCATAGCTCAGAGGCTGAGGCACAGGGGCAGCCAGTGCAGGAAGAGTTCTGGCTCCACTTTTGGCAACACTGCTGTCTGATCTCACGGGCTGGAGACCCAAGTTCACCCTCCCCACAGTATCACCCCTTCCTTGGCCCTGGCTTCGACTTGGTGCCTTCCCTGATGATGTTTTTCAGGGTGTCACAGGCTACCAGCACACACGGAGACTACCCAGGCCCCAGCAAAGACAACCAACATACGGACCTTAGTGCCTTCCCTTCCTGCCGCCCCAGGAGCCCATGAAACGTGGCAGCTCCCGGCAGAGCTGTGAGCAGATCCTCACTCCCTGCACCCGTGGGGAGAAGGTCACACGGCTCCTCCTGCTGTTAGCACTGCGGGGGGGTC